CCACAAGCCCCCCCCCCGGGGCCTGCCAGCCACGCTGTGCCTGGACACAGTGGTTTGACGTGGACTTCCCTACCTCTGGCAGCGACGGAGGAGACATGGAGACCTTGGAGAACATCCGAGCTGCCGGCTTCCAAATATGTGCAAAGCCTGAAGCCATTGAGTGCCGGGCAGAAAACTACCCTGACACCAGGCTGGAGGACCTGGGCCAGAAACTTCAGTGCAGCCTCAACACTGGGCTGGTGTGCAGAAACAAGGATCAGATCAGCAAGTACCCCATGTGCTTCAACTACCAGGTCAGGCTGCGCTGCTGTGACCACCAACACTGCGAGACAACTGTAGCACCTCCAACCACCACCGCAAGGTCCCCAACCACACCTTCTCCTGTAGAAACCTCCACTGCAGCAACTACGACTCCAGCAACAACCACTACAACCTCTACAATCTCTAAGACTCCGTGGACAACCAGTACTGGCACTACAGTCATTCTCCCAAGCTCTGTTTTTTCTACTCGAGAAGGTACTTGCCACCACTTTTATTTTCAGTAAGTGTTACTATCCCAGGTAGCCCAGGTTTGTCATTGTCTTCATCTGGAAAGGTAACAAGGAGTTATTTCAACATAAGAACATTGCTATCGCTATCTATCATTATCTGTGACTTCTTCCACTGTCATCTCTACTACTTCTTACAGAAATGATTTTTTCATCTCAGTCCTTGTGATACTAATAACTGTGTTTAACAAGTCTGTAAATGGACCCTGCAGTTTGATGTTATTTACCCTGAATTTGAGGAAGACAGTGGTGACAGACTTTCAAAAACACTACAGCTAAAGGCCTCTGGTGTGCAGACATGAGAATCAGATTAGCAAGTACCCCATGTGCTTCAACTACCAGGTCAGGCTGCGCTGCTGTGACCACCAACACTGCGAGACAACTGTAGCACTCCCAGTCCCCATTATCAGGTCCCGAACTATCCCCTCTCCTGCAGAAACCTCCACTGTAGCAACTCAGACCCCAGCAATGAGCACTACTGCCTTCACCTGCCCAGAGTCAAGTGCTTCAACCCCTTTCAATCTCCATCACCTAGGGTTTAGCATATCCCAGTGGATATTCAGCACTAATAGATAGAGCTAAAAGATTTCCAAAATCTCCACTTAGTGAGGTGGATAAAATAGCTGAATGCAACCAAAAGGTTGTTTTGATCTTCTGGAGTGTTGAATAGACCCCTCCACTATGTTACAGTTATGAGATCAAAATCCTCTGCTGTGAACTAAAGTATGTTTTGTGCTCAACAGTATCTACAACTGGTATACCACAATCAACTCACCTTACAAGAAGCACTTCTACAACCTTCAGTTCCTCTCCAAGCACACCTCTTGCAACAGAAGAAAGTACATATGTTACGTTAAGTCCAACAACTCCATGTTTTTGTCACGTGCTTGGTGACTTGTTTTCTCCTGGTAAGTTTCTTATTTTATGGTCATAAAAATTTTCAGATGCAATATGAACCCTTTGGACTGTATTCAGTTAAACATAACACTCCGCATCTGCTAAAAATAGAACTTTTAATACCTTTCCTTGTTTTTTTCTAAATATTTTCATTGGTCTGTTAATTTCTCCTCCAATTTTTCTCTGCAGGGGAAGTTGTATACAACAGAACAGATAGTGCTGGCTGTAATTTTTATGCACTTTGCAACAAGGAATGTGAAGTTGACCCATTTCAAGGGCCATGTCCTTCAACAACTCCTTTCACCTCAGCAACCTCAGAAACTACAACACAAGCCTCATCATCCACACAACCTGTATTTTCTTCTGCCTCACCAACCACAGCAATACCCCTCACAACTTCAGTAGAAAGAAACTGTACTGATGTCAATCCTCCACGAAAGGTGGTTCCCCTATTTTTTCTAATATATCACCATTGCAAAAACATAGCCCAGTTTCTGTCCTCTCATAGCCAATTCATATCAACTTGCACGTATTTCAGTACCAAATTTGATCATCTTACAAATGACCTGATACTGTATGTTTATTCAACCTGACACCACCGGACTTTATATAGAAATTGTTCACTAATACAACAGCAGAGACTTTTTTGATAAATTCAGACATCATGGCAGTAAGCGGACCAGCTATGAAAAATGTTAGAATCTTATTCCTTCTACACAGAAGATAGTCCTGTGATTTAGCTGTGATTCAGTTTGCCTGTTCTTAAGGCCTGAAATCATATGCTAGGAAAATGCTAATCTGAAGTCCTATCAGTTTTGAGCGTCTAACTCAAGTTGACTTAAAATAACTGGAGTGAAAGAATGCTTATGAGTAAATCATTTATATATTTTCAGCCTGGAGAGAAATGGAAGAGCGAATGCCAGGAGTGTGTCTGTGACCCACTCACTGTTACTGTGCAATGCCAGACACCCCCATGCCAAACAAATGAGATACTTGCTTGTCCAAAAGGATTTGTTGTCATGCCTGTACTATCAGAAGACCCATGTTGTCCTCAATATATATGCCGTAAGTATTAAAAAAGCACACACACACACACACACACACACCAGGCTACATGCTGTGGTAAATTACACTTGCACTTAGGTCATTATCTAAGCGGACTTCTCAAACCTTCCTTAAATTGTTATGGTTCAGTGAACAAACATCCATTTTTGGCTAACTATACATTAGATATAAAAACGTTACTTTGCATGAAAGTTTGTTCATGGAATTGGAATGGGCGGGAGAGCTGGATAATATTTTGAGCCTTCAAGCAGTTGATATTGCTCAAGTATCTCTTTATCTGCAGATCGTAAAGATTGTTAATGCAACACTGTAGCACACTAAGTAGCCTAACTATAGCTAAACAAAGATGTATAAACATAAGAATAAGCAAGCAGAGAGCTTAATAGTTGAGTACAAAAGCAAGTAATACAGAAACAACAATACAAAGTGAATCATATTCTTTTTCATAAAGCCGTAGGTATTTTTGATACATCAACAATACAGTTATACTTACACTATTGTAGAATGCTGATAAAAATTTAAAAATCTGCCAGTTATATATGCTTACTTATATATGAAAACCAACAGGAAAAGGTAGCCATAAATTAAGCCTGAAACATGAAGTTCAAAACAAAGGAATAGCCAAATTTGAAGTGATTCTGTGAAAGACATGAATGGGCTCTGTCATGGCATCGAATTATTTATAATACCACAGTAAGCAATACACACTCAATCTTCCATGCAACCTGCATTTTGAGAGGACAAAGAATCAATTGCAAAGGCATGTTTTAAGGTTACTGGACTTCTGGGTTTGAGTAGGAGACAACTAACTTAAGAGAACCTGATGCCTAAATTGAAAGGTAGGTATTTCTCAGGTGTAGCTCAAGTTCAATATCATTTTTCCCTCAATTCATTTGAATTTGAAAGCTGTGCCTTTTACTTCAACCTCCAGTTATTATAAATATGAGGTTTAAGCATATGGGCCTTTGAGTTCTCCATATTCACTCTGTTATTAACAACCCTTAATAACATCTTTGTATCTTAACTTCTCAGTAGATCTCACAGTTTGAATTTATTCTGGATTTTGTTGTTGTTTTTCAGAAGTAATACCTGATATTTGTGTGGTCAATGATACAGTTTACATGGTAAGAATACTATACTTACAATGGAACATTGCTAAGAGTGAAACGTGTGCCTTTTCAGACACAAAAGCCATTTAGAAAATTCTTTTTCCTATGCATGTCCTTTCATCGCCAACCCAGAACTGAAAGTTATTTTTTTCTGATATTAAAAAAAAAAACTGTTACAGAAAGGTTCCTCAAAAGGAGTGTAAAATAAAAGTGCACCATTTTTACTGACATACATTTTTTCGTACTTTCTCCCACTTCTGGAATTAAATTTTCCAAGGGAGCAGATGAATCATCCGAACTCATCTGTTCTTTGAAATAAGCTCTGAGACCCCTCAAAACTAAATCTAGGATTTTTCCTAGAACTGATATCTAAATCTTTTGCTAAAATTGATACCTAAGCTTTTTAGTCAAAATTTAAGCACTGGAGCCTCTTTCAGAAAAACTGAAGTCCATGTGTAAATTGGTATTTCTCCTTATACATCCACGTATGTATCCAATTATTGTACTCTCTGTCTGTAACTTGCTATTGTTTTATAACAACTGAATATGACTTACAAGGAAAAATTCATCTTAAATGGAGCACTGAAAAGCTAGTAAAGTAATGAGGCAGTTCAAGACAGTCTTATCAGCATTTTAGTATTTACTTTTCTAGATACTACTTTATATTGTTTTAGTTAGTTTTCTCCGAACATTTGTTTCTTAAGCACAACTTCATGTTCTACGCTAGCTGAGCAACTCAGTCGCGCTTGTGTTTCAGTAAACTTAACTCCACCTATACGTTATACAAAGATTGTTTTCATTTGAATATTCTTTCTTTTCTGTCTTCCAGGTTGGAATGTCCACAGTAATTGACTCATGTAAGAATTGTACCTGCACTTCTGAAAAAGATCCAATGACTACCCAAAACATTCTGCAATGTGAACCAGTTCACTGTGAAACATCTTGCCCCTTGGTGAGTTCAGATTCTCTAGACTGTGCAGTCAAGACCCCAATTACAACACCACTAGAATTCTCTGTCGTTGCCTCAATATACTTTCTCTTTCATCTCCTTGTGACTAGGGTCATGAATATAAGATAGAGCATGGAGAGTGCTGTGGAAAGTGTGTTGAAGTAGCCTGCAGAATCAAACTAAGTAATAACACTGTTCAGGTGCTCAGTGTAAGTATCCCTTTTAACTGTCAGATCTCTGTTTTAGTCAATACAGGTTAGAACAGCTAACAGTCAATTCATGTCTCTTCCTAGTAAGAACTAATTAACATGGAGATTGCTCTCTGTGAAAACTAGAGGCCAGTTTTCAGAACTGAACACTTAACTGGAAAAAACAAATCCTTGACATATGTGCTTAACCAGGCAGTGAGAAGAGGACAGAGGTCAATTATAGATTTCTAAGTTGTAACCTGAGTGTTCAGATCCAAGATTGAAGCTTTTAACCAAGCCACAGTTTGAAAGTTTGGTTCTTCCCCTTTACCACTTGAAAGAATTTTGGAAAAATCTGGTAATCTTTGAGATGTCAACAGTTGATTAGTTCAGTCACTTTTGAAGTAACCATACTATACTTGATAACAATGCAGAAATAATACTCATGTTCTTTTAATCTTAGCTTGATGAGATCCTGCCACTCGATCACTGCAGCTATTACAAATGTGAAAAAATTGAAGATCAATTTGTTGCAGTCCAAACTAAAAAAACATGTCCCGAATTCATGCCAGGAGAATGTGATCCTGTAAGTTTTAATCAATTTTTCATCTATTGAATGCAACACCTAAGAACAAGGAGGAAAGGATAAAGGTAGAACATGAAAATAT